CTCTGGCAGGAAGACTGGCAGAAGTGCAGCTCCTCATCAGGCAGCTAAGATCAAGTGAAGACATGAGTGAACAAATGGAAGTCAAGGCTAGGCAGCTTGGTGACTACTGACATACCAGGCTTAGGGGCTCAAGGGCAGCAAAGCCAAGGCCAGCAAACAGTGAACATCATGACGGAAGATGTGAGTCAATGAATGCAGCAGGCCTGCAGCTCTGGAATGCAGTGTGGGTGACCTATGCTCACACAGAGCACAGGGTGGGACAATCACAAGGCCTTTAAAACTAGAGGGAAAAAAAAAGAATCACAATTTCAGAGTAAAGGGTAGATGATCCAGCATTTTGAACCCTGACCTTGAAGAAATTGAATATCACTACAGTTAGAAATCACACATAGTAACTAGAAAAAGGAAGCATCATTTTTCTACAGAAAGATTCCTGAATCAGACCTTGGGAGACATGTCAAACTGGATCAAGCCTATGGCTCATGCAACCATCACAGTATCTGGTCCATGATGATTGCTTCCAAAAACCTTTGTGAATGAGTCTGCTAATCGCCTTTCTTGATGTCAAGTCTTACACTGACTGGAATAACGTAGTGTCAACTCTTGTGTGTGTGTGTGTGTGCAAGTTCACATGGATATGCATATATGTGGAGGTCAGAGGACTATCTTGGATGTTGTCTCTCAGGACACTGTCTAACTTGTTTTGGGAGATAGGGTCTTGCTGGTTAGTAGGCTAAGCTGGCTGGCCAGAGAGCCCCATGGATACACCTGTCTCCACCACCCCAACACTGAGATTACATGTATGTGCCACAATGGCTGGTTTTTATTTTGTTTTTGTTTTGACATGGGTTCTAGGGTCTGAATTCATGGTCTCAAGCTTACAACTGTATTCATGCTTCCAGAGCCATCAGCTAGAGATTCTTCTTGCCTGCCCCTTTTTATCAAGTTCAATTAATTTGTAATATGTCAGTTTTCTCAAGACAGGGAGCGACCCAGGAAAGCAACTTGATGGGTATTAAATTCAATGCATATCAGGATGTAAGTGATACTTAAAAGCAATCACACGTTCATTATGGGCATGTGCCCTCAGCACAGTGGATGTTCTAGAAGAGATAACAACTTTAAAATGAATTTTAGGAGATGAATTTCATAATTTGTTAGGAAGATACTAGCAAGTAAAGTAATATGCACCCTAATCTGGTCCAGCCTATCCTAGATATTATTTTATTTTAGTATTTTGCCAATTATTCCTATCGTTATACATAGAAAAATCACAATTTTTTAAAAAATTGAAAGTTAATCACTTATGGCAATTTATAAAAATCATAAAATTTAGAGCTCTCTTTAATTTCTACGCACTTCTACATAAACGACCTTATTTTACTTCATAACAACTTTACAGACTCGAAAGAATCCAGTGCCAAGTTTGCATCTGGCAAACATGAGAGCACACAGAGTGGTTGTGTGAGTTCTCAAGTTGCACAACTGACTGATGACAGAGTGGATGATGGTGACTTTCTATGATTCTGCACATCAGGTGGTAATTCCTAGATTTTGTGCTCAAGTAAAATTTCAAAAAGTATCTCAGAGAGTCCAAAGTAGGGCTGCCACTTTTGTTGTTTTTAAGGTAAAGAAAAAAATAACTATTATTGCTATTATATTGTTTAGCTGTCCTTTATTACCTTATAATACAAGCACTATCATTTTAGACCAAGTGTAATTCTCAAATTGATACAATAGCATTACAGGAAGCTACAGAATTCTATTCCTTTTCCCATTTTGGAGAAAACTCTGACAGTATAGCATAGAACTTGGAAATCACACTCTACGCCTGACGCTTCAAAAGTCACTCAGCTCCTCCGTGTGTTCTCCTTGCAGTCCATCAAGAGAAACTAGTAATTGTTAAAAGGTTTTTTTTCCTTTTGAGCATTAGCGATGGAGCTCAGTGGTAGGACACTTGATTAGGTATGTAGCCTCGTTGGTACAGTGCTTGTCTAGCATGCACAAAGCTGAGTTCAATCTCAAGCACTGAATAAACCAAACATGGTGGCTGTGATGGTTGGTTTTAATGGCAACTTGGTACAAACTAGAATCACTCCAGTAGGGAGCCTCAACTGAAGAAGTGTCCTGATTGCTTTAACTGATGTGGAAAATCCCACCCAAATGTGAGCAGCACTTTCTGGCAGAGCCCAGATAAGAGGGGCATGGCAGAAGAAGATGATTTGCCTTTTGCTTGTCTTGCCTGCTCTCTCACTGCTGAGTTGATTTATCCTGTTGCTGCTGCTGATTCATTTGCTGACACTAGAGCCAGTGCTTCCCATCTTCTATCACTGGTGGAGGACTAGCGGATCTTCAGGAATATTCCAGGTTGCCAGTGCCAGATAGACTGAGCAACTACCACAGTCTCAGAATTTGAAGTGTGAATCAACTGTGGTTACACGTTCAAGGTAAGCTGTTCTGTTCCTCTAGAGAACCCTGACTAATACAGTGGCAGACACCTGTAATCCCAGCACTTGAGGAGTAGAGGCAGGAGGATCAGAAGTTCAAAGCCATCTTTAGGTGTATGGTAAATTTGAGGCCAGTCTGGACTATACGAGACCTATCTCAAAAAATTGCTTTTTCCTTTTGAAACATGCTCTTTTTCAACTGCTACTATAATGAAGTCATGAGTATCACACATTTACATATAGTCAAACCTCAGAGCTGTTGACTTACTAAGCACAATTACCACGGAGGCTGGCAGGGATGCAGCAAGTTCAGAAGTGACAGAGTACCCACTACAAGGTATGGTGAGAACAGGAAAGTGACTTTGTCCCAGACTAGTCATGTACTACACATTCAAACTCATCCATGAGAATGAATCAGCAAGATGGCTTCGTCTAGGCAGAGGCTGCCTGCAATCTGTCCTGATTCTCATTTCTATTCCTTCTCCCAGACCCAGCTCTGTAGTCTGTCAGAACTTCCCAAGCCTTATGTGACATAAACATCTAATGTATAAAATTTATGGATAACCTATAATCATATTCTCTACACTGTACTGTTCGCACACCAAAATAATTAACTACCAAATCCCATCCAGTATTACAAGTGTGATCAATAGGTGATCTTCTCGCTGATGATGTCATTCAGTTTCGGGAAGGAACTACATGACTAATATAGTAAGAGAGACAAAGGAGACCCACCTAGTGTCCAATCACCCAAGTCAGACCCTGTGATCACTGACACGTCAAGTCTACCTCCTTTGCAAGTCTAATCCAGGCTCATGTAGAAATTCGCGGCTTATCAATGGATGCTTGGTCAAGAAGGTCCATTAATGAATGTAATGTTCAATCTGGATAGTGCCACTGTCCCTAAAGACTGCCAAAGCCATATACCTTTTTTCTATTCCTTTAAAATATAGAAATTTCATATACAACACAAAAATATTTTCCATAAGATAATAATTATATATCACCAAATGGCCACACCATAATACTACTTTTATATATATATGCATTTTATGGTATATTAAGCACATTAACATATCTCATTCTTCATTAAGAAAACTGAGATATTCCCAGCACTTGGGAGGCAGAGTTCAAGGCTAATCTGGTCTACATAATGAGATCCCAGGCAGTCAGGGCTACATAGCGAGACCCTTTCCTAAGAAACAAAAAAACCCCACACAAAACAGAGAAGTAATATTCAGAGGTGCAACTGTGTAATTTACTTCTATTTTATTGAAGACTGAACTGAAGCTCAGAGAGGTGATGAGAGATTCTCAGTCACAGAAAAGGAGCCAGAACTGGAATGTGGCTCCTTCCGTTACTCATATTCTTCCCAAAAGTCAACTCTGAAGGCGGCCCAACCAGTCAGGGCAGAGTTGGTCTACCATGACTTCAGGAAAATGACAGCTCATACTATTAAAGGGCTGAGAAGGCCTGTGGTCTTCAGTTTCCTCATCACTAATACATTTATAGTCTCTTCATTTAGTTCTTTAGAATTCAGCATGTAAACCAGACAATCCAGGAGAACCTGAACCCAGGACCAGCACACTGGCCATTCCAGAAGAGGGGCCTGGAATCACTCTGATCACACCCACTCTTCCAAAAGAAAAACTCTGGAGACACTAAATTAAAACAAATTCACAGAAATCTTGCTGATCACATGCTTTTGTAGTTTATATGGTAGACAAGAGCAATTCAAAATATACAAAATACATTATATATAATCTGTGTTTTAGAAAATAAAACAAAAAGTGTAGCTAAAAAGTAAGAAAATAGTGACCACGAAGGTGCTAGCAGATGCTTACTTGCTGAATAAAAATACTCATTTCATGAAATATTTATAATGAAAGACCTGTCTATTTTGAATAGACTAGAATTAGAAAAGTTTTGATTATATTTTCTGAAATTAATGACTAATGTCAATTCAAACCAAAGTTTCAATAGCATTAACTAATGCTAATAAGATAATCATGAATATTAGCCTTGATATTATGTAGATACTTTTATACCTGCTTATAGGATCTATTTATAATCCAAAAAGAAAATCATTAAAGGAGTCATTTTCAACAGCAGGAAAAATAAAGTAAGCTAGGTATCATTAGTTCTTTGTCCCTAGTCCATATCATTCAGACTGATTAAAATGTTAATTTTTATATATGTGACTCAAACCTAAAGTTACAAACAACCGAGGCTATGTGGCACAATAGCCATCATCACGGGTGGGTAAACTGACAACATGTAACTGCATATTAAGACAAATGTAGAATTTAGACAAAGTATTCCATCTCTTTTCAGATGTATACTTTTAAACCTCAGGAACTGTTTTCAGTAGATGTCATGCCTTTTAACTTGAAAAAAGATAAGCGCAAATAAGCTCCCAATTGTCTCCCCAATATGTAAACCACATCTCGGGCTGCTGTCTCTGCTGCTCCTTTGAAGTTTCCCTGAAATGTCATGTGTTGTGAAGACTGCTGTGCATAAGCAAGACAATTTGCTCACTCTCAGAATTCTTACCGGTTTCCACTGCTATTTGGTATCCAGCCTCTAGTCTCCGAGATGACCTTTCCAGCCGCTCTGTGTTATCCAACAGATGTGCCCTCTGAAAAAGAAAAAGGGGGGAAATCAGACGGATGGCTACAATGTTCTTTTTTGCCTTAAAAAAATAAAGCCTTTGTATGTCCTAGCATTTGTGTGTGGAGGGGGCACAATTCATTACAGTTAATTTTTATTTAGCAAACAGTTCATTAGAGAAACCAGAACAATGGACAGATTTCCAATCCATCATATGTGGACCATCTTTTTTTTTTTTTTTTTTTAAAGGAGCCCCATGTTGTGAGCGGCCACAACAAATTTTACTCCACACCATTGAGAGGTGTATGAAGACCAGAGCCAACTGGATCTTTCCTGTTTAGCCCAAATGAGACACTAGTGTTTCAATAAACCCTATTTGTGCTGATTTTTTATAAAATGCAATTCATTTTAAACATTCACTTGGTCCATTGATTTCTACAGACAGTAATTTTTAATTTTTTTTTCTTTTTAAGGAATGCCTCTCAATTTTGGATGTGTAGCAGGATGGCATCTCGAACAACACATGCTACTAAAATGGAATACTAAACAGCATTCTTAGTTTAAGACGACTCAGGACGACTACCAAGAAATGGGAGACATACGTTTCTCCATTTACATTGAGGTGCAGAGCTGCGGCTTTAATCCCAAATATATGGCACTAGGTGAAGGTGAACTTCTGACACATAGTGTTTTGGATTGTCAACTTAATTACAATCATCTCTTGCAAAAA